AAGCGGTTCAAGATTTTTGCACAGTACTGTAGGTTAGGACTACCCTATAAACAGGGTAGAAATACATATATTTATGTATACATAAACCAGTTTTTGTCCTCCAGACACATAATCACAAAAAACACTGTCTCTTGTAGAGTGGTGCTATCTTTACCCCAATCCATCCTCTGTGGGTGATTTCCAGCGCATAGTAATTGGGAAAGGAACCACATCAGTGATAGAGAATTCCCGAACCTTAAATGCTGGTGACAAAATTGCGCACTACACAGACACATACGCACAAGCAAAACCACAAAGACGAACACATATTTACTCCATTTTATCACTACTATTTTTTTTTCATATTACATTGGAAAGAAATACTGGGTGTTAATATCTGAGGATCTTCCAACCTGCAGTGCACAGCCTCTTGCTACAGCTTCGTCTGCATTGAGTGTGGTGCTGATGTCTTTGCAGAAGAACTTGGCGATCCTCTCTTTGATAGCCGGGATCCTTGTGGCTCCTCCAACTATCTCCACTGCACAGATATCATCCCGACTCAACTCTGCCAGACAAAACATACACATTCCTGAGCAGATTCTTCCTTTGTTTAACATTAATATCAATTAATGAATTAATAACTCTAAGGGGCGTACTTGATTGTTCAAGGGCCGATTTCAATGGAATCTCAACTCTCATGAGATACTGAGCACACATCTCTTCAAAGTGTAACCTGGAGGATTTAAACATTGGAAAAAAACAATTTAGATATCCACATTAAGTGTGCTTATTGAGATGAAAAAAACCAACAACAAATAGGTTTTTACCTGTTCATCCTGCTGGAAACATCAATGTCATTCATGAAGCACTCTATGTTTAGAGGCAGGTCGGAGGAGTTGGCACTCATGAGCTTCTTCAGTTTCTCGCACTCCTGGTATAGCCGCAGCACAGCCCTCGGGTTGTCCCTCACGTTGAGCTTGTACTTGCCCTTAAACTCCTCGCAGAAGTAATCTACCAATGCCTCATCAAAATTACGCCCTCCAAGGTATGGATCGAATGCTGTGGCAAGAACCTGACGCACCAGATTGATACGGAGTTTAGAATTTAAGAACAAAAGAGCAGATGCAGCTGGAGGACGAGAAGGAAGGCAAAAGGCTAACCTTGAGTTTGCCTTTGTGGAAGGCAGTGATAGACACCTGGAATGACGAATGCCCCATGTCCACAAATACCACGTTTCTCGGCCTCTCTTCTGGTGTAGGAAGGTCTTGCTTGTAGATCCCATAAGCCAAAGCCACTGTTCATAGACAAGACATTTATTTTCAACCCTTACGTTCCATGTTTGACTATGGCCACTTCATAAAGTTACTAATGTATCCAAGAACACCGACCTGCAGTGGTGTCATTAATTAGCCGCAAGCAATTCAGCCCTGCAATCTGAGTTGCATCGAACACTGACCGCCTTTCAGCATCTGTGAAAAAACTTGGGACCTGTAAAGCAGAGTACAAATCTTAATGTTCTCCTCAAAACCGCGTTCTGAATTACACCGACAAGTCTTGTGCACCGTTTTCATCACTCACAGAGATGACACAATCCACCACCGGCTTCTTCAGGGCGCTCTCTGACGTCTCCTTCAGCTTGGTGAGCAGCATCCCCGTGATCTGCTCAACTGTGAACACTTTATCCTCGTCCAAGTAACGCACCTAGGAACACTCAAGCATTTAGGGAGACCCGAAGCAAATTAAAAACCAAAAGGGTGAAGGTGATCGGTTGCTTGGAAGTTGATGGAAAAAGCAAAGATGGGGGGAAAAAAATGGGAAGTGGTGAAAAAGATGTAAAGTACTTTACCTTAATTCCAGTGGTTCCATTGGCCAGCTTATGCAAGCTGTAAGGCAGTTTAGGTCTTTCTGCTTGGATAAATGGGTCATCGAATGCTCTGCCGTGGAACTTTTTGAAGCCATGGACTGTATTTTTGAAGTTTGTTATAATCTGAAAGAAAGGAAATACTTAGCAAAGATTAAAAAAAGACAACTGTTTGAAGATGTAATGTGTCTGCCAAAAATAAAATTTCATGGATGATCTTACTTGACTTTTGGCTGCATTTCCAATCATGCGATTTTTGGAGGCCAAAGACACACAGGCCCTTAATAGGAAACAAACAGAAGTAATCCTGTTAACAGATGTGGCGTACGAAGAAGAACTGCAATTTCGATGGCTGCCAACTGAAATGTTGAGCATTGCCATGAGGGATAGTTCACGGGGGAGAGTGTCTGAACAAGAACTACAAACTAGGGCAGTGAGACATAGCAGATCACCTTGAAAATTAAGCTTTTTCTATCCAAAATAAAGAGAGAAAAAACAGGAAAATCGTTGTGTTTAATGACAAAGACCAACGCTTCTCCTCACACAAGGATTCATTTCACATTGGCTAGCAGTGACAAGTCACTCCCTAGCTTCACCTTGCCACAGAAAAATATCCTCATGCACTTAAAGGTGCAATGCTCCTCTCAGTCTCCTTTCCACGGATGCTGCAGCAAATTCAGTTTACAGAAACGGAGACCCACTTGGAGATGATTTGTTTCAGTCCGCCAAGTTGATTCCTTACATTCACCCTGGGATTTAATCCTCTGTCACTTCTGATCAAGCACTTGCATGCGTTAAAGATGCAGTTTGTAGACGGGCCTTAACTGACGCATTATCGTTATACCATGTCAAAACCTATTCGTTATCCTTTGATGTCTGTACAGTATGCAAACACTTTAAAACGCATATTAAACAAAATAACATGTACAATACAAGTAGGTTAACTGAGTCAGCTTGTCGTGCACTGCGCAGCTCGGTGGTGATAGCCAGGAGACATCTCAACTACCTACAAAAATAAACTGTTATTTAAAAAAGACCTATAATAACCTGCTGTGACGGGAAATGAACTAAGGCCGCATCACTACCGCCGCCACCATCCCTGCTGCCTTCCTGTGCATCACACCGCTCAGTCAGTGCGCCTCCAGTTGCAAACATTGCGTAACAAACTCACAGGCAGACCACACTTACACGGCGATGATGTCTGTCAATATTTCGGCTATACTTACGGCGTGCATCTGTCACTGTATTCATTGGCAATGGTTTCAATGCCACCGCTCCTGGCCACAGCGATGTAACAATTTTGGAAACCCACATCAATGCCTACCACTGACATATTGAGCGCTCTTAAATTCACCCAAGTTATCCTCCGCAAATGACCGCACTCACACCTAGGAGGAAGGGGGAAAAATAACACACAATGGCGGTCTGTTCCTAATTTTAAATTTATTTAAGCGTGTCGTCCGCTCTGAAAATATACGACACGGCTAGCCGAGCGTGCACTAACTGAATTACTAGCTGTTATGTAAGTAAAGCTGTTTATAGCAAACTCATTCAGTGTAATCCCAGAGAGCAATGATGTCCAGAGCGGATTCTCCCACTCCCAGGCAGCCCTAACATCACCCAGCGGCTCCGACTGACTGTATCTTCTCGGACCCGCCCACGTACGCCTGTGATTGGCTGCGTCACACCCAATGTCCTTACGTGATTGGTGCGGCAACCAATCGATAACAGAAAAATCTAGAACCACCTGGAAAAGGGGACCATTGAGTACGTCATCGGTAATCGGCACGGGCCTGACGTAAATTTTACCCTAAATTTAACCTGCAGGTACAGTTTCTACCTTCACATCTCACGTGCCTCAAAATCAATACGCATACAACTATAATATCTATGACTTTAACATTACTGATAGCTAGATCATATCTGATGAGATAGTGGTACGTAAGCGCTACCTGAAAGCATTGTTTGCGAGAGGTAAAGCTTAGAGTGCCCTAAGACGATATATTGCTTATACATACAAGTTTATTAAGTCGGTACAGTAATATTTACTGTTATTGCAAACATTTGTTTATAGCGACATATGACGCTGCTGTTTACGTGTCTTATCTCCATGGAAATGACAACAGAGGGTTGCACTGCGCGTAATCACATTGAATTATATTCATTTCATTCATTGGTTTTATTTCAATGCGTTTTATCTGTTTATGTTTACTTCTTTGTTTAAACAAAATATGATATACATAACTTTTCTGGCTAAGTTGTTTAGGTACCTACCATAAGATAAAATGTTCCAGATAAAAGGCCTAAATGTATATATTAATTATATTATTGGATTAAGGAATCGTGTTTAAGTTAGGTAAGCGTGTCACACAAAAGGCAATTTCCAGTAAAGATAGAATCACACATAACAGCCTTATGCCAACCGGTGCATAGTAATAAAGACATGATTTTATATCAGTAGAAAGAAAACAAAAATTAGTTTTAGGGGGTGTTTTATATTATTATACTTTACCCAATATATTATATTATTTGAATATTTTTAAACTTTGACTACAGCCTATTCAGATTTCCGCAAGTTGTTAGCAAAGCAACACAATAACGGAAAATTGCTGTCATATTGTTCTATCTATCTATCTATCTATCTATCTATCTATCTATCTATCTATCTATCTATCTATCTATCTATCTATCTATCTATCTATCTATCTATCTATCTATCTATCTATCTCCAAAATAAATGTTTAATTGTGAGTTTTGGGGGGGTTTCATAGTGTTTAAAGTCATGGTATTAAATGGCACAACAAAACAAAAATGCACACATTCTTTAAATTCTAAGGTTTTACATAATTAAATAACATAATTAAAATATTTATAATAATAATAATAAAATCAGGTCCTTAGCCAGTTTTACAAGTACATAAATGCAACCTGAGATGAACAGCAGCACATGACATCGAAGACCTTGTTATTATTTATTTAACACTATATTCATAAAAGATAAAATATAATAATATAGCAGACTCTTAAAATGATAAAGACTAAACTAAAATGAGAATAGAGAGATTTTTTTAAAAGAAACTGTAATACCTTTCTTTTTGATTCGATCCAAATGCCTTCAGTTTTTTTTTAGGGCAAACCCATAACACGTCACTGCTGAGTGTCTCGTTCGATTTCAGCTTTATTTGAACACTTGTTCTTATTTCCCTGTTTTCTTGTTGAGGACGTGAATGTTTACTCATATTCGGACTCAGCCCGCGGCGCCCCTTGCCAGAACAGGAAGTGATAGTTTAACAGGCTGTGCTAGCCAGCTAGTTCAAGTCAAATAGGTTAGCTTGCCTTTTAACACATTGTTTACGATGGGACTGTTCGGGAAATCACAGGAGAAGCCAGCAGCTGATTTGGTAAGTACTGACTGATGGTGACCAGAACCTGTCTTTAAGAGCTGTGTGGACAAAAAGCAAAGAAAGACAGTGGCTCTTGCTATCCTTGCTAACGTTAGCTGTCACACAGCTAGGGCTTGTCCGTCCTGTATGTTTATACTTCAGGCTGATAATTAAGTAGTCAACAGCACTCTAGTTGAAAAAACAACAACAACAAGTTTGACATTAGCTTACATAGTTTTTTTTTTACACTATTCAAGATCACACGCTTGTATACGGTGTCCATTAGCCGATTTATGCTTTCTATATTAGTGTGCCTGTTAGCATACATGCTAATATAAGTCTTCACTGTAAACAAACCATTGCTGTCCTCACTTTAGCCAACCTTATGAGCCATTACATATTAGCAGCTGTACATGGCGTCGTTGTATTGCGACACCCGTGTTAAAACGAATATTACATGTACATCCACCTGTAGCTGGCCGAGAAACAGAGACTGTGTCATGTTTTAATAAGATAATGTGCTCTTTCAGGTTAAGGAGTGGAATCATAAAATCAGGAAGGAAATGAGAGTGGTGGACAGACAAATTCGAGGTAAGACTACAGCCAGAGTTTGACACTTCCAGGACCGTTTACATTCAGTTTATATCACTTTCACCTAAATATCTGATAACCAAACTGAGGAGTTATAAATCTAGTGTAAGTACAATGTATTTGAATTGTCTGATAATTGCTGTCATTTAATTATTCATCTGGAAGGTGTAAAATAATCATTTGACTCAGTAAGTCATAAAGATACCAAATTAGCTTTTTGTATATGTAATAAATATAATCAAAGACCTGATAAATTGTGTGTTGTCTGTGTAATGAAATTGACATATTTTGGTTTCAGATATTCAAAGAGAAGAAGAAAAAGTTAAACGATCCATCAAAGACGCTGCCAAAAAGGGACAGAAAGATGTGTGCGTGGTGCTTGCGAAGGAGGTGATTCAGTCCAAACGAGCTGTCACAAAACTTCACGCTTCCAAAGCACAGATGAACTCTGTAGTTCTCAGCATGAAGAATCAGCTTGGTGAGTGTGGCAGCGCACAAGATGGGGAGGAGGGCGTACTTAGTTTGTCACTTAGAGCAGGTTTTCTAATGACATTGTGATCATCAATGCTCTTCTCTGTCACTGAGGAAATCTGTTTTGCGTGTTTTCAGCTGTGGCGCGTGTTGCTGGAGCAATGCAGAAGAGCACAGACGTCATGAAAGCCATGCACAATCTAGTCAAAATCCCAGAGATCCAGGCCACCATGAGGGAGCTGTCGAAGGAGATGACGAAGGTCACTGTTTACCATGATATTATTGTTACGTGATTGTTACACTGTGTCACTGATGTTGTCTAATATTTTAATTCTGTTTATTTTGCTTTGTTGAATTTGAGATATTATTTTAGTTACAGTTGTGTTAAATTTTTGATCAATTTAATTGTTGTGCCAAAGAAATTCCACAACTTTTCATAGTAAAGCTAAAACTTGGCATATTTACCTTTCAGGCTGGTATCATTGAGGAAATGATGGAAGATACTTTTGAGAGCATGGAAGACGGAGAGGAGATGGAAGAAGCAGCGGAGGAGGAAGTCGACAGGATCCTCTTTGATATCACAGCAGGTGACAAAAATAAAATCACAGCTCAAAGTCACATTTTTGTTTTTGTTTGTTTTGGGGGTTTTTTTTAGGGAGTTTAAGTCTGAACCACAGATCAGCTATAAAGTCAAAACACTGAAAACGCTGGTTCTGCTTTCTCTTGTCAGGTGCCCTTGGCAAAGCACCGAACAAAGTCACAGATGCCCTCCCTGAAATGGAGCCCGCTGGAGCCACTGCGGCTTCAGATGAAGAGTCAGAGGAGGACATTGAAGAGATGCAGTCAAGATTGGCAGCCCTGAGGAGCTAAGGTGAACTGCCGCTGTGCTGCCTGTCGAAGTCAGGTGGCTCACTCCGTGAAGGACAGAGATCATTCTGGTGCAGAGGTTACAGTTTCGAGTATCCTCATCGCTTCTTGTTATAAATTCACATAATCATTTGGGGTTAACATTGTGCTACGACAGTCAATTTTTCGATAGTCATCTGGTTTACTCAGCCAGAAGAAAATACGTTTTTGCTTTTTGTGTATAATTATCAAGGGTAAACCCTGGGTAAGTCTTTATTATCCAAAGTCAAGCAGAAGGGTAAGAAGGTGTACATATTGTAAGTAAGAAAAGCCTGCTGTGCCTACAGTGCTTCATCATACTCTTCTTCTTCTGTCCAAAGTTATTATAGACTGGTTGTGGAAGTATTTATGATCCCAAATGCAACAGACTGAATAACTGTTGATGACAAGTCACATCAGAAATGGCCATTCAGCTGTATTTTTAATCACTTAGGATCAAATTATTATTATTTTGTTTGTTCCGTTTACCTGTAGTTAACCTACAAAATCCGAAACACTAGATGTTGGTGGATGGGGTTCACTTTTTGTTTTCTGTACAGTCCAGTCAAAATGTGTCTGTTCGTTCTGTGGCTATACACGTTACACTGATCGGAAACTCCACGCATACTACTTTACTTTTTTTTTGTTTGTTTGTTTTTTTGACATTAGCAGTCAGCTCGTTAAATGTTTGACTTCATCCCCATGATTCCCTCCTAAACAGAAACAAGCAGAGGAAATAAGTTGGGTGTTCAGAACGTATGTACTGTGGATGTACTGTGTGTATATTTTTTCTATGTCTTGGAGAAAAAAAGAAATTAACTTTTAAGAATAAAGCTGACAGTTACCAGTAACTTGTCTCTGCCTGTTTCTGCTTGCAGCACTGATCACGCTAACCTTTCTTTTTTTGTGTGTTGTTTTTTTAACATCTCAGGTCTCTTCTTGTTATAGTAGGCCTTTTGGGATATGTGAATCAGCCAATCAGCGGGTCAGAAAAAGTAGTGCACACAGTCGGTTTAATGCTGTCTGGCAGATAAAATGGCTCAACCGGCACACAAAAAAATAGCCTATATAAACAATAAAGACCTTGATGAGACTACTCCAAAGACAACAGTATCTAATTAAATGCAGGAGCTATGTGTCAAACTATAATAAACTAATGCCTTCTTCTTCTTTTTTTTTTTTTTTTTTAAAGGAGCAGAATTTTAATTTTTAGGAAGGGTTCATTTTCAATTCACCCCATTTCAAACCGGCTTTTTCTTTTTTTGTTTGTTTTTGGGAGGTTTTTGGTCCGTTTTGTTAAAATGGACAAAAGGGTCAAGTTTCTGCCAGCCACGGCCCTCCCTTGGCAGCTTTTGTTGGACGGTAACAAAACCTCGCCTGTGTGCTCTGGCTGCAGTTTGTGTGTGAAAGGCTAGACAAAGCCAAGGTACTGTTGCTCTGGTAATGCAGGTGTTCTCAGGTTTGGGACCAGGGGATGAGAATTTCGAGGATAGGCAATGTCCCTGTCCTTGAAATCACTTTTTAGTTTTTATGAGGTCATTTTAATAAGGTTTGACCTTCAGTTGTAAATGTCAACTGTGAGCAAGATTACAGTCAGTACAATCTGAAATATTTGGACTCTTGCTCGTTGTTTTAGGCCACACTAGCTACTCTGCATCTTCCTCAAATTCCCCAGTGTCACTTGATTTGTGGTCATTTGATTAATTGTAAAAATTCCCTTTAAAAATGTTACACCATAGAATAGTAGTAACATCAGAACCCTGCATCCTGAAGTGGGCCTGTGTGTAGTTTAAAGAGCATGACGTGTTAATGGGTAACAGTTGAAAACACCATGTTCTCGTTACAGTTGTTTAATACATTTCTTTAATCTTTTCTTTCAAGAGTGTTCAGGCTAAAACATTTGTTCCTATCTGCAGCTCTGAGGCAGTGTGATGGATAATACTCTCTGCTATTCGGACATAAAGCAAGCAATCAAGAAGTTTACTTGTAGATAAATCGCTAATTAAAATGTTTTCGTTGCAGTAATGCATGTGTGTGTGTGTACCTTCATTTAAATGACCACAAAAGTATTCATTCAAACATATCGGCCACGTAGTATTACCGTATTATTCCAAGTAGGAGGTAGTTTGTGGATCTTTGAGCTTTACGGGGATTTGGTTGCAGTATTAAAAGGTAAATTTGAAAGGGATTACAGAATACAAACGCTTAAAAGGAGCACGGAGAGGGGGAACAGGAGATATTTGTCTCCTTTGCAACCCTGCATCGACACATCCACACACCCTTGTGGGCTTGAGGACTCACGCTCCGGCATGTTGTGTGTCTGCTGTCTGTGCAATGCAACACTGCCATCTATGGATAAGAGCTGTAGGCCGCTCACTGTTTATCCCGCATCACGTTGCCGCCTGTGTGCGTCCACACGCAGCCGCCTGGACGCGCCTGTCATCTGGAGGAAACTCCTCCCTGCAGACAGCGCGTCCTGTCGCCTTCCCAGCGCAATGGTCTCCTGGATCATCTCTAGACTTGTGGTGTAAGTCCCCTTTTTAAATTCATTTAAAACATTCTCTGTCATAGAGGGATATGAACAGATCGCATCGCCTGATTGTTGCAGGTGGCAAATCGAGACGCACATTAACGGTGGAGAAGCTGCGCGCTTTACAAGCCCCCGCATTTCTGCCTGACAGCCTTTTTAATCAGAATCAGACGTCAACATAGAGAGCAAGTGTCGTGCTGTTCATTTCTGACTGAAAGCAGCCCGGGTTTGATGGGATTGTACTTTGTCGTTTCAGCCGGAATGAGCCCCGGGCCTGTATAGACCTACTGTATTTCTTAACAGGCTGGCAGCGCGCAGCAGTCTGCCACTCTTTGTTTTTATCAAGTGATTTGTTTTTTATTCTAGACAAAGAGATGACGTTATTGAGTGAATAATGTATTATCGTCATACGAGATGATAAAAATGAGTCAGATCCTGAAATCTGGGGGCTTCTTTCATAGCCAGAAGCCCTAAATGTCACTGAGTGGCGAGGTGTCTGAACAACAGGAGCGGTCTTTGAGTGGACCAATATTGAGTGTGAATGTCCCACATTGGAAAAAAAACAACAAAAGGGATGGGTCAGCCTTCTCAGGTTACAATGCAAGAGCATTTCATGTTATAAGAGTGGATGCATATACCCCCATGTTTTTATATCAATAGCTGCCTGTTTCCTATTATTATTAGTGTAGGTTATGGCTATTTTTCGCCTGCACAAACTATGAATCAGCATCATTGCAGACTGTGTAAAGCAACAGTAGGCTCTAACCTCGAAATAGGGAAGCAATTACATTTCGATAACGAGATTTTGTTACACTGATTGGACTGCCAGCGCTTTGGCAGCTCAAAACCTGGTTATGCAGATTCGTTTTTGGATCGGTGGCCAACAGAAAGGTTTTAGCTGCGTCGATATTTTAAGCGTCCTTGTGTTTCTGAACTCCGAGTTAGCCGGCCAGGCCCGAGCAACATGATGTGGGTCAGTAATTTGATCAGGTCGCACATACGCAGCTGTTGCTGTTGCTTGGTTGTAGCACTTTCACAGAGTCCACGTCTCTGTCCGGACACCCAGCAGCACAGGTGCTTGCATAAGAGGAGGAATTTAAAGAAAAAAGACAACATATGTGAACTAATTTTACCTGAAATGACTTGACTTTATCTGTCAGCTGCCAAGCCCGTATTAGCCATGAGTAATACTTTACAGTTTCTGATTGACCTCATCTTTCCTGGAAACCTGTAAATGTCTACAAGAGGTCCAAAGATTCAAAACAAAATGTACATACAAATGCTTAAGAAGAAAGAATTATTCCCAAATGTCTATATATGGATTGCTTTAATGCACAGCATACACTGCTGTGGAGAAGTCTTTCACCCCTCGTAATTTGCTAGGAAAATGGGAAATAGGTGCAGCGATTTATTAAAAACATGCAAATACACATGAAAATAGAGTATAGAGGAAAAAAACAGGCTGTGCAATACTAATAAGCTTTAAAGTAAAAATCTGATGTGTTCACTTTTATTCTTTAATGCCTCCACTCTCACAGATGAGTTTTCTTGTTGTTTCTTTAAGTAGTCTTCAGGAATAGTTCTCCAAGCTTATGAAGGACATTCAAAGCTTGTCTTTGGATGTTGCCTGCATTTTGTTCTGTTTTCTATCAAATGTCTTTTGTTCTCTGCTTGTCAGTTTTCCTCAAATTTTTTAAGGACACACTGCACACCATGCTGAGAAATTACAAAGTTTCAGCTACTGGCTCTTTAGGAATCATCTTGTTGGTCCAAAAATACTATTTTATGCCTGTCAAACTGTGTTTTTATGGGAACCTGACAACAACAAAGTGCCTAAAGGTATAAAATTACTTCTTCACTAAGTTGTCAGTTATGTGTAGTCACAACACTGGTTCATCCCTTGGGTTAGGTGCTCAAAGGATTCACAGGTAGTCATAGGAACCAATAGTTCCTGCAGTACAAAGACTGTACAGCATATGAGTTAAACAACAGCCAGTGTCCAAAGAAGACATTTGAAAGATTTTCAGAAAGCCTGGAGAATTATTGATGGAGATCAATTTAAAAATTACAAGAAAGTCTGTCACTTTGGAAACAAAACAGACTTTTTCACAGCAGTTTATTGTTTTTAATCATGTTTTATTGCATTAAACATGTCTTTGTGGCACGTTTTTTTATGTCTGAATATTAATCGGTTTCCTGTCTTTTAGACTCGTCTTTGGTACACTATATCCTGCATACTCTTCTTATAAAGCTGTGAAGTCCAAAGATGTGAAAGAATACGTGAGTAAAATGTTTTTAGCTTTACAATAGTAACACCATGATGTATTAGTAAATAGAAATGTTTTATGTGGATTTGCATTAACAGATTTGACTTTTCTATGACATTGCAGGTGAAATGGATGATGTACTGGATAATATTTGCCCTATTTACATCTGTGGAAGTGTTTACAGACATGTTTCTTTGTTGGTAGGTGACTGCAGATGTTTTGTGTCAATGATCGTACAGAGGCCCTCCGGGGAATATATTTCAACTCTTGTCTTGAGTCTTGTAGGGTTATCATTAACAATCTTTATGGCAGACATAAAAAAACACAAGTTATTGTGTTTTACTGCTACTCCGTGTTTTCACTGCAGGCTTCCTTTCTACTATGAACTGAAGATAGCCTTTGTGGTGTGGCTGCTATCCCCTTACACTAAAGGTTCCAGTGTGCTATACAGGAAGTTTGTTCATCCCACGCTTTCCTCAAAAGAAAAGGTGAAATCCCTTTCCTTTTTGTTGTTGTATCTTCCTTTATTTCCTCTGGTGCCGTTAAAGGAAAGGCATAGGGGGCAAAATGTTCAGTCTAGGCTTTAAGCTAACACGCATGGTTTTGTGTCTAATAGAACTGGAGTTTTGCGACTGTCTCAGGAACAAAAGTGCCTTTGTGCCAATTCACTTTCCCACTTAAGCTTTTAAAAATGTGTCCGCTGGACAAAGGCAAAGACATGTCACAGTCTTCTTCCATTCGTCTTTTCCTTTCCACCTTTTTCCCCCCCCCCCCTCTGTTTGTGTGGCAGGAAATGGATAAATGAGCTTTCTGAAGATCAAAAGCCACAGAATGAAATGATGCAGTCAAGCAACACATGAAACAGCTGTCCAGCAATTACACAATGCCAATGAGATACATCATGTTCATGTGATTCTTTTTTTTTTGCTCTTTGTTTAGGACATTGATGAGTATATCTGCCAAGCAAAGGACAAAAGCTATGACACACTGGTGCATTTTGGGAGAAAAGGACTGAACGTTGCAGCCACAGCTGCAGTCATGGCTGCAACAAAGG